CACTAATCTTTCAGGGCCTGTGCCGAGTGTCAGATCACCACCTGCGTCGAAATCTTTCACAGGAAATCTGTCTGAAACGTTCCTGTCCATGCTCTTCCCCTCGCTTTTAGGTTTGTGTGTTAAGTTGCTCCTTTATGGATTTATTTATTCATTTATTTTTGGTTTGGTAAAGATGTTTGACTGTTCCCAAAATTAGCTTTTGTGTGCTGTAGTCTGATAACGGGCTCTTCTGGGCTGCTGTAAGGAGGGTTCTTGTCGCAGTGAAAGGTGAGTGTTGAGCTTGTGAACAGAAAGCCCTCGGGCTCTGAAGCAGAAATGTTACAGGTGGCTGATGGGATAGGTTCAGCTTTTTTTTTTTTTGTTTTTTAGGGAAACTGCTGCAGGGAGATGAGCTGGGTGGTTGAGCTTAAGGACACCTGCAGGACGTCCTTTGTCAGGTGACTGAGGCATTACTCCATCTAAGTCCCAGACACATGCGTCCTGCCACCTCCTGGCTCAGCCAGAGATCTGGGGTTGGCCAGCAGTCTGTCAGAGGTGCTCCATCAGTTTGGTGTGAGTGATGGGGCTTTCAGGCTCCACTCCCCCACAAGCACCTTGTTTTTTTGTCATATGCAGTTTTATTGGCTCCAGAGATTTTCGAACACCTCACAAGAGTCGTAATCAGGCAGTTGAGTTTTAGGGGGGTAAATCGCAGCTTTCCTCACAATACGATACAATATCGATTCCTTAAGCCAACGGTGCGATTTTTTTTTTGATACCTCAGAAATTCCCACGGTACGATTCGATTTAGTTCGATACTGGGGTTAGTAGTCGAAATGATGACATTTCACACAACCCTTTACATTTCAATTAATTATATAGGCAAATATAATTAACTATATATAGGCAAATATAATTAACATTTTATATTTTGGCAACTGTAAACAAAATCTAGTGTAGTCAAGTATGTCCCATAAAACAAGCAAAATAAAGTGCAATAAGGTAAAAATAAAAAATATTGCATGGTCAGACATGTAGAACGAGGAAGATTAACATGACTGACTTCTGCGGTGAAACAAGTATGTCAGTAATCTTTGAGAGATTTTTTATTTTTTTTTTAATTAAATGGTCAACGTGTTCAGGAGATTGTGTGCTCTGACCGTAGCGTCCTATGTCACCTGCCGTACTAAACACACGCTCTGAAGGTATGCTAGCTTGTGAGCTACTTATAAATGACCAAGTCAAAATGATCTACCTACTATATAATTGCAAAACATATATTCATGTTTAAAAATATTGAGTATTCTTTAATATTATCATTATTATCATTACTATTATTACTTTCCCTTTGGGATAAATAAAGTATTTTTGAATTGAACTGGGATTTTAGTTCATTCACCTTTATATTTCTCAGCTCGGTTTTCAGAAGGAAGTTAATGTCATAGTTTTTATGAACAGTCCGAAAATGCCGCTCCACATTTCCCTTCTTCGGAATAGTAATGGTAGACTGACAGATGAGGCAAACGCACTTCGAATATGACATTTTGGAAAAAAACATTCCCATTCCGTATGGATGTGGTCGGTTTTTGGCTTCTTTCTTCGTCCAGCTCCCCATTCATTTTTATACCCTTTCTCAAGTTTAGTAGAAATAAATTGGAGGCTAACTAGGGCACTCGGTAGCTTTCTAGAGATTTGCAGCAGCTGGCGCGGTTGAACGCATCATCCATCCTCTATTTTTTTATGCCATACGATCTGCCTACACTACCTTTGCGATCGACCAGTAGATCGCGATCGACGTATTGGGCACCCCTGGTGTAGACCATGTATACGTCGGAGTGGATCATGAAAACAATACTGGAACCGGCGAGAAAAAAAACGCTTGCATCGACATTTATGTGGTCATGTCGATACGTCGGATCGTTTGCGATTGAATCGGTACATCGATACAAATCGATGCATAATTGTTACACCGCTATTGAATTTAAGCTGGTCATAACTAGTCAACGTCAGCCTGTATACGAAAAGCAATATGAGCAATGCTCTTAATTCTGTATGGAAATGTGAACTCCTGACACGCCAGAGAATGTGCCGGCCAGTGTACTTGTATTTCCGATGCTTCTGTGTCAAGGTTGGACTCTTGCTCCCCCCCCCCCCCCCCCCCCCCCCCCCCGCTAGCTGC